TACAACTTGAACTGAGATTGTGGGTGGTGTCAAATAGGTCATGTGGACTATTACAGCAGTTGTTGACGCCCCTGTGAAGTGGTGTTCAAGGTCGTTTAGCCATTCACAGTCTGTTGTTACAGGAGCAGACACTGCTGCCTTTCTGCGTGAATGGTCGCCCTCATGGGTTATATCTGTGTGCATTGCTGTTGTACAAATTCATGGTGTAAAGGCACAGACAGGAATCAGTCATCGTTTTGTTGGTTTCTCCCACACAGGTAAGTAACCTTTGCGGAAAAACCTATGTCAGGTGGGCTATAGGCACCTATGTATGTTGCTATAGTCTATACGTGTTATTATAGCCTTAACATGTATTGTCCATGCAGGAATCAAGCTAGCTGAATCATTGTTCAGCATTCATCTTAAACTGTTGCAGCCCCACCGAGTTGGCAGTTTTTGACTAAGTCATGTAAATACTGACTGGGGATTAGCACCAGTGCTACTGCTGCCTTTGTGTTCAACTGCACGGTGTTAACCCCGTGTGCATTATGTTCATGACAGCACCGGCACTGCAGCTGCAGCGGACATCACTACTAGGTGTTGGCACGACCGCCACCATTAACCGCACAGCGCCACCGGTTGCAACATTATGCAATAGTGTCTGTGTTGCTGCCGCATGCATTATTTGGCCACCAGCACACTGTCACACTGAGGATGTCACATATCCCAGGGTAAACATTGCTAAGCGACTATCCATGTGTCTGCGGTGCTGAATGTCCACTGTCAATGCAGTCTGGAGACAAGCGCCTGACATGAATGCTGGCAGTGAGTGTATGGTTAATCTAGGATGCAGGGCCACTGTTCTTTACACTGCAATGTGTTTGCAATAGTCTAATTGTGTCTAATGTTATGTCTAATGCTTGTGCAACTTTCTCTTATAGCTGCTATGCCGCTGTGCTTATGAGGTCTTCCGTTGTGTGAAGTACTTTTAGCTGAGGTCAACGGCTTTGCTTGCAGCCGATCTGGACCTTCACTATTAAGATGGCTGGATTTTATGAGATCCCCAAAGCGACAACTTTGATGATGCAGTGTCGAGAGACTGACTCGAGAGGGAACGTCTCTGGTTACCTAACGTATCCTCCGTTCCCTGAGAGGAGGGAACGAGACACTGCGTACTCTGCTGTGTTACATAACTTTATAGTATGTAACACAGTTAGATAGTCTTTGTCAGCTGCACTCTGCTTTAGTCCAGTGATTCTGAGGCAATGGCGTTCAGCGCTGCCTTATAGTGCGGGGGAGCCCGCCTCTATTTCTCTCGCTGAAACACAATTGGCAGGCGGATTCTCGCCTGCGAGATTTCATAAGGCTTCAGTAGATTCGAGGAAGGAGGGGACATCTTCGATGATGCAATGTCTCGTTCCCTCCTCTCAGGGAACAGAGGTTACATTAGGTAACCGGAGACATTGCCATTACTTAGAATGACAAGCAAATACATGGAATAACTTAATATGTACTGGACTGGTAATATAGTTTTATATAATTATTTTTACAAATGCTTATAGATCATTAAATTAATTTTAAAATGCTTATAGATCATTAAAAGTTTTGCTAACACTTTACAATAAAGTCTCATTTGTTAAGATTAGTTAATGCATTAACTAACATGAACAAAGAACAATATTTTTTACAGCATTTATTAATCTTTGTTATGTTAGTTATTAATAAAAATGTTCATATTAGTTCACAGTACATTAACTGTTAACATAACTTATTAATCTTTTTTAATGTTAGTTAATAGCAATTTGCATGATAATTCACTTTAACTAATTAACAGATACAACTTTAAATTTTAATAATGTGTTAGTAAGTTTTGAACTTTATATTAACTAACATTAATACTAAATGCTATATAATTATTGTTCATGTTAACAAATGAAACCTTGTTGTAAAGGGTTACCAAAGTTTTATATATTGTTCTCTCTCTCCCTCTCTGTGTGTGTTTCACACTCTTGATGTTATAGTGTAACCCTTTCATTACTGTAACCCTTAAAACCAGACTGCCAGAGGGTTACTGTAAATGCATGTGCCAGCTGTGCACCGTTTTCCTGATGCCACCGGGGTGGCGGTTGTGCTAGTGGCTTGGGCCCGTCATTGCTGCTTGCAGCTATATTTTTTTATTTTGTTTAAAGAAGTTTACATATACGCACTCATAATATTGCCATGTACAATGGTTTGGATGTTTACAAAGAGTACTTTTTGTTTGACCAGACTCCCTGCTTTAACATGATATGAAAGAGAAAAAGAGAAGAGAGAAACTACTAAACTGTCCAACCAAGCTTTTCCGTCTCAACAATATGTTAAGAATTTATAAATTCTCTCATGTAATTTTTATTAATCTTTTTCATATTTAAATTTACGTATGCATTTGTTAGATTTTTGGGTTCAAAGTGGCTAGGTTTTCATGCACAATTTTTGGTTAAATCGGACTGAATTCATTCTGATTGATGAATCTGAATGTAGTGTTTACATGAACGCTAAATAAAGTGATTGGGTTGATGTGCACGTTTATATGTCACAAGCTTCAAATCAGAATTGATTTTTTTTTTTTTGACATGCGCACACTGCACAAATATAGAGTTTCTAACAGTTTGCACATAATAACCACTCTCCTACATGGTTTCTTTATTTGTTTTTAACAGCAGAATTAATATTTATCCATTTATGTATAAATATACATATTAACCGCTGTGCCGTGCTGCTCATATTTATCGCGCAGTAAAAATGCCCCTCCCCGCGCCCAAAACGGGTTGCCTGTGGATGAGAATCCAAAACAAGGACTGGTGGGAGGTTGTCCTGCTCCACTTCACAGTTTCTGAGTGAAAGGAGAGTTTTATAATGACAGGACACGCATTTATACAACACTTTATTCAAAAGGAAGAACCGCTCGTTCTGTGCGTCATACGTCATTATGCTATTTCTGCGTCATGCGCAGTCCTTTCAGTTTCAGGGTTCAGTCCGATCGAGTGTTTACATGCACTCTCAGTCGTATTAGAAAAGGAATAAACCACCCCCTTCAATCGGATCGAGCTCAGTCGGATCGATTAAGGTGTTTAAATTAAGGCTTTTCAGTCCGATTGAGCGTTCAATCCGATTACAAATGGATTATTTGTTTGGATTATTTTGCATGTAAACGTAGCCAGTGTCTTGCAGTCCACTCAATGCATTAAGCCAGTATGTTTGTTCCCTGAAAATCAAACACATTGCCTTGCCATTTTTAGTGCCATGCTCTACCTGAGCTAAAAAGAGACTAAAACATTAAAGACCCAGTGAATTGGCTTTAGAGGTGCACTTCTCATTCTAAAGAACAATTGTGTGGACAAAAATCTGTGTAATGGAGGATGATCAATATGATCATTAATATCTTTGTCCATTTTCCAGTAAAAGAAAGTCTATGAATCTACTTATATCTGTTAATGTTAGGAAATCAGTAGCATATATGTGGCTTAAAGCTGTGACTCTAGATTAGAGCTTTTACCAAGATGCGTTTCATTTCTCATGCTGTTCCTTAAAAAAGGCTTTATGGAGCCTTGAACACACACGGTTCTTCACATTTTCCATCTAACCGATCATCAATAAATTGTTTTTGAACATAATTGTCTGCTCACCTGTTGTCAGGTGTTGGTCTTACTGCAGAGAGATACTTTTCTCCTCAATATCATACAGTAAGTGAGTGAATAATTGCCATATTTCTGTTTGTGGTTCGTCACAAATGCATGACACAGAAAGTGTGGACCTCTGTATGCTGTGGTGTTTGCTGTGGTCAGCTAAGCCCTGAGTTTTGCTTTCAAATCCATATAAACATGGATTGAACTACACTTAATGGACAGGAGATTCAGATTTCTTATAACAGTGGCAAAGTAAAAGCTGTCAGTTAAAATGAAAGACAATATGGTAAATCTAACAATCAAGTATTCTTACTTTTAAAAGTATGGCAAACCAATTATTTGTTGTTTGCAATTTCAAATCACTAAAAAATTCTGTTTTAGTGTAAAGGGATAGTTCACCCAAAAATGATAATTCAGTCATTCTTTACTTTCTTTATCAAACCATAAAAGAAGATATTTTTTAAAATCCTGCTCACGCTCGTCCATATAATGGCAGTGTAGAGCAACCAGCGTCAAATAAAAAAAAAGGATACAAAAGTATCACAGAGTGATACAATGAGATGGGCACTGTATTTTTAGTGTGTTCTGGAGGCATACTGCAGGGTTTGGTGACAAAAAGCAGAAAGGTACTTTATGATTTAGGCAAACTATTGATATCGACTGTTACTCTGTGCTCATTCCTGAGACTGTGAGCATGTGAGCAGCTGCTCATACTGTCTATACAAAAACCCACTTTGTTGTCATGTCAACCAGAACACAACTGGGATGTACACAAAATAGACAGACCTGTGCAAAATATGTCTGAAGATTTTAATGGTGAAACAGATATCTGTTTTTGGGTGAACTATCCCTTAAATACCTTCTGGCAGGAAAGTTTTTTGACATTGAAATACTTTCTCCTATCCCAAGTAAATATGCAGAGACAACTATAAAAAAGATATTTACTGTTACTGCAATTATTATTTATACATGTAAGCATTTGCTACACAATAGTGTCTTTTTTCATGTTCATTTTTAAGAGGGAAAAGCCACTTGCTGCTGTTCATTAAAGTGATTTTATTTTAATACAATTAAAGAGATTTAAGGTGCTCCATCAAGGCATTGCTTTATTAATCACATATAAGAGTGATAAGAGACGTTCATTTTTTTTCACTGACCTCAGGTAGAGAAGAATGACTGACCTGCAGACTGCATGTGCTGCTAATTCTCTATCACAAGGCCTTTTCCAAGCTTAATGCTATAATGGCCCTAATGGGGCTGTTTTCCTTTACAGAATTGTGCAGAGCATGTGGTGTTTTAATTATCAGTTGTTAATTTTTTTTTTTGTCTGTAAACATGCTTTCTCTTTTCTTTTAGTGAGCTCCTTCAATCACTGGACATGTGTGACAATGATCCTGTGGCCATTGCCAGATGCTTTGTGATCAAGGTGAAGTTCAAGCTGACCCAGTACCTTTCAAGTCTTTAAATCTGATTATATTTAAATAATATGTTTATAAAACTAAACAGGAAATATAACTTTAATGATAAGTGTTTATGGTTATTTATTCATTAAATTCTTTAACATCTTTATTTGAAAACAACTTTGATATTTTCAAGCTCCAGATAAACAGCTTATGATGATTTCCAAATCAAATTATGTAAATGAGGCTATTTGCTTGTGAATGCATTTTAAGAAAAGCTTTACTGACTTTTGTTTTCATCTCTGTTTTTAGCGTGAATATTTTGACATCTACTCACAATATTGCACCAACTACCCAAAGTAAGTTGCACTGAATGCCCAAAGTGACACATATTATGTTGAAGAGCCTCTGGCTAGGTGGTCAGATTAATATAATTTTCCTGCACCAAAGAAAAGCACCTTTGGTTTCTGGGTATTATGGGAGGAGTTACAATATTACCCTGACATTTCTTGACAGGATTTGTGAGATTCACACTTTAATGCATAATATTCATTAAACGTGGTTAAACTGCATCAAAAATATAAGTATTTTTCAATTCAGTAACTGATATTAATGTAGTGGTTGGTCAAATTCATGACCGATAAGGTTTTTAATGCCTGGACAAGCACACAAATTCAGGGTCAATACCAGACATTACTGAACCAATGTGTGGGGACAGTAAAATGAATTACATAGTTATTTTGCCATAGCAGCAGTAAATAGTTGCAAAACAATTGCAAAGCAATTTTTTTTATAGAAAAAAAAATACAGTGTAAAAAATGAGTGTAATTTTAACTGTAAAATATTGTATGCTATGGGAAAAAAAACTGTTAACAGTAAGTTCCCGTACTATATACAGGGAAAAACTGTAAAAGATATAACCAGACATTTCATGTAATTTTACAGTAAAATGCTGTTAATTGGACCGTTTTTAGAAGTAAAAAATAACAAATCAATATATAATTTACAGTCAAAAACTGCAAACTGATATTCCCAGAATTCCATGCGTGAAACTCCACATTTGAAAGTATTTTGTTTAAATAATCATGTTTCTTAATAGTTTTTCTTAACAGTTATGTGCATTTGGGTTTTATGTTACATCTTCTGTTTGTTTAAAGGGTTAGTTCACCCAAAAATGAAAATTAACACATAAATTACTAATAAATTATTCATCCTAGGTGTATATGACTTTCTTCTTTCAGACGAATCCAGTCGGAGTTATATTAAAAATTAATTTATGGGCTAATTTTCATTTTTGGTGAACTAACCCTTTAATGAATGGTTATTGCGTTATTTAAGTGTCAGTGTGTTTGTGTTTGCATGAATGACTCTGTGCACCTTCTGTATAATAGTATACTTCAGCTTGTGGGAAAGCTACTTGTGATGAACTTTTGATTCTTCATGTGGCTTTCTCTTTAACACCTGCATTATTATGGTGGTTGTCAGTATATGTTAAAGGTACAAAACTGATTTTAGTAGCAGTGTGTGTTGTTGAATTTACTGGTTTACATTCGAATTTTCTTGTTTGTAAATTACAGTTTTATTCAGTAATTTACAGTTTGTTCTGTTAATGTGTTTACAGGTTTTTCTGTATTTTTTACAGAATTATTCTGGCAACCACAGCTGGTCAGCTGCCAAAATAATTCTGTAAAAACTACAGACTTTTTTTTTACAGTGTATAGTAAAAATCAAGCACAGACATAAAACAAAGCTATTTAAAAAAAAAAAAAACTGCATTATGTTTAAAAATCAGAGTTATGTGTATAATGTGATGTGTACAGTTTTAGATGGATGAGGATGTAGGTGTCATCGTTACTACAAGTCAACCACCAATCAATAGTCAATAGTACCTCTGCACATGAGGGATAGGTAGTACAATCTTACTGTTGGTGCTATTTCTGTTTGGAGTATTATGTATTTTCTTTGTAAACGTTGATGATTAATGAATTGTCAGAGTTATTGTTTAATGTTCTATGTGAGTTGACTGTTATCAGTTTGTATAGTGATGTATTTGTTAGTGTGGTGTGCTGTGTTTTGACTGTTCATACTCTCTCCATAGCTCTGTGGCTGCTCTAACAGACTGCATGAGGAACAAAACTCTTGCCAAGTTCTTCAGAGAGAGGCAAGCTGCTTTAAAGCGATCCCTGCCTCTAGGATCTTACCTTCTCAAGCCTGTCCAGAGGATCCTCAAATATCATCTGTTACTACAGGTTAGACAACCACTCTCAGAATAATACTTTATAGAATATAGTAAAGGCTTCAAATCACCTACTGTGAGCAATGCCTATCATGCATGATAATTTTTGTTGAACTATTATAGTTTTTGCATTCAGAAATTGTTGTTTTTTCCTCATTCTTGTGCATTTGCAGGATATTTACTGAGAGTTAAGGGGAAAGAGCTATATCATAGGTTCTCAAGCAAAACAGATCACAGGTCTGTGTTACTAGGGTTCAAGTTTCAAGGTTCAAGGTTCAACGTTTATTATAAGCCCGGAAGGAAATTTTTTGTGCAGCATAACATTTGTAAGCATATCATACAAAGCACACAAACAAAACACAAATAGCAAACACAACATTCTGACATCCTACAAATTTAAAAGCCTTACAGCAGTGGGAATAAAAGAATGTCTATACCGATTGCTTTTAAGTTTAGGCATATTATAAAGTTTACCAGAAGGAAGCATTTTAAACTCCTGGAACAGTGGATGAGTACAATCTGCAAGAATAGCTCTAGCTTTCTGTAAGACAAACCGATCAAAGCTATTTGATAACCCAGTCTGCTTAATGCCAATAATCTTACTACCTTGGTTAACAATGCCATTCAAAGAATTTCGATGTTTAACATTTACGTTACCATACCAACAGCATATAGAGAAGCAAAGTACCGATTCAATATAAGATTTATAATACATGTTCATAAGAGTCCTACTGATATTAAAAGTAGAGAGCCTCCGAAGACAGTGTAACCGTTGCTGGCCTTTTTTGCATACTGCTTCAACATGAGTATCGAAACGTAATTTATTATCAATGATAAGCCCAAGGTACTTGTAACTGCTTGCCCATTCCACCATTTGACCTTTTACTCTAGTTGGTTGAGGAGACGAAGGACTGGATCTAAAATCAATTACCATATCTTTGGTCTTTTTTATGTTTACTTGCAAGAAGGCACTATCGTACCATGTCATAAAATCATTCACCACTGGACCATAACAATTCTCATCCCCGGTCAACAAACGAACAATAACAGTATCATCAGCGAATTTTAAAATGAACCTGTCTGTGTGTCTACTCACACAATCATTAGTATATAAAATGTAGAGCAAGGGTGAGAGAACACATCCTTGAGGAGAACCTGTGGACGTAATAAGGGTCTGAAAAGTTGCTGTTTACTCTCACTCTCTGCATTCTATCACTTAAAAAATCTAATAACCACCCCACTATCTTAAATTCTAATTTAAACTCTGAAATTAATTTCTTTACTAAAACATGGGGCTGAATAGTATTAAAAACTGGATGAGGCATCCTCAACTCCTCTTCAGGCCTGGTAAGCAAACTGCAACGGATCTAAAAGACTTTGAGTTTTCAATAAAAGTTCATCCCTGACAAATTTCTCAAAACATTTAATCACCAATGATGTCAGAACAACAGGTCTAAAATAATTTAGAGTCTTAGGATAACTTGTCTTCCCTACAGGCACAACTACGGCTTCTTTCCACAACTTAGGAATTTTTTGAAGATAAAGCGACTTTTGGAATATATTATAAAAAAACAGGACCTAGCTGATCCGCACACGTCTTTAGTAAACGTCCCCCAATCTTATCTGGTCCAGAGGATTTTTCCACCTTACTCTTTTTAAAAACGTTTATAACATCCTGCTGATTAAAAAATGTACACTCCATATTACACATAGTCTCATTCCTAAGCACATTCATTTCACTAGTTAAATCAATCATATTTAACAGGGTGGATGAGGCATCCTCAACTCCTCTTCTAGCCTGGTAAGCAAACTGCAACGGATCTAAATGACTTTGAGTTTTCAATAAAAGTTCATCCCTGACAAATTTCTCAAAACATTTCATCACCAATGATGTCAGAGCAACAGGTCTAAAATCATTTAGAGTCTTAGGATAACTTGTCTTCCCTACAGGCACAACTATGGCTTCTTTCCACAACTTTTTTTGAAGATAAAGCGACTTTTGGAATATATTATAAAAAACAGGACCTAGCTGATCTGCACACGTCTTTAGTAAACGTCCCCCAATCATATCTGGTCCAGAGGATTTTCCCACCTTACTCTTTTTAAAAACGTTTATAACATCCTGCTGATTAAAAAATGTACACTCCATATTACACATAGTCTCATTCCTAAGCACATTCATTTCACTAGTAAAATCCTCCACATCAAATTTAGTATAAAAAGTATTCAATTCATGTGCCAGCTGTATATCGGATTGATAACCAACCAATTGTATGGGGGCATTACCTTTACTCTTGGATTCAGTTATAGTATGCATACTCTCCCAGGCAGAGCCAAGTCTATTTCCTCTAAGATCCCCCTCTACTTTCTCCTTGTACTTATTTTTAGCCCTCCTAATTTCACACTTTATTTGTTTTTGCAAATCATACATCCTTTCCAAGTCACCTGCATGAAATGCCTTGTTTCTTTCAATCATAAGAGACTTTATAGATTTAGTTATCCATGGTTTTATATTAGCAAAAGTTCGCACAGTTTTTTGAGGGATAAGCATATCCTCACAAAAATGTATGTAACTACTTACAACCTCTGTTAATTCATCAATATCAGAACATGAGTTTTCAAAAACCTCCCAATTTGTGCAATCAAAACGTCCTTGCAATGCTAAAGATTAATCCACAGACCATTTCCTGATAGATTTGGTTTCAGCCTTATACTTCTTTAAAACTGTTTTATACACAGGAATTAAAAACACAGTGTTATGGTCAGACAGCCCCAATGGTGGATTACTAATAGACTTATATGCACCTCTGACAGAACCATAACACAAGTCCAAAGTCTTGGTAAATCGTTTTGCACTGGTGACGTACTGTTGAAAATTTTGCAGAGTGTGTTTCAAAGAGCAATGGTTAAAATCCCCCATGATAAAATTAGGGGCATCAGGGGAAACATTTTGCAACTTAGAAACAATACGTTCAACAGTCTCCTTCACTTTAGCCTAATTTGCTTTAGGGTGAATGTACACCACCGTAACAAAAATTTGAGAGAATTCTCGAGGTAAATAAAATGGCCGTAATGACACAGAAAGCAGTTCAATGTCTCGGGTGCACAATGTTTCTCTTACGATTACTGAATTGCACCACCTTTTATTAATGTATAGACAAACACTGCATCCTTGACTTTTACCTGTAATCACTGAATCTCGATCGGTTCGCAGAGGAGTCCCAAAGCCATTAATAGTTCAAACGGAGTCGCTGTCTTGAGCTTTCAGCCAAGTCTCTGTAAAGGCCAAAATGCAGGCCTCTCTGTATGCGTGGTGAACATGTACAGTGGCTTGCAGTTCATCGATTTTATTCCTTAGAGACTGGACGTTTGCCATTACGATAGTCGGCAAAGGAATTCTTCTGAGATGCTGCTTCCTCGGTCTTTGACGCACGCCACCCTTCTTTCCTCTCTTCCTCGGTTTCCATATTTTTGGTTATGGACAACAGCGGTAAAAATACTAAATGCACATAATCAATTGCAAAATAACTGTATAAATGTGCATTGGTATAATTGAGGATAGCAAAATTTAAAAAAAAAGTAGTCTTCATTTTAAAAGGAACACTTAAAAGGGAAAAACACTGCCAACCTTGTTTGTTGTTGACTTCAAACTTCAAAGGCTGTGCATTTAATCAAACTCTACAGCAGTGATTCTGTAGTGGGGCCCACTAGGGGGCCTCAGTAAACTTCCATGGGGGCCTCAAGATTACCTAAAATTGTCAAATGAAAAACAACAACAACCATATAAATTAAAAAAGCTAAAAGAATTAAAAATCAAGATATTCCTTATTTCTATTTACCCCCCTCAACAACTGTTGTTAATTGAAGAACCAGGATTCCCAAAGAAAATCTGGATATTTGTGGGAATCCCCTTAATCTTTGTCCAGTAAATAAAAATCAACTGGAAAAGATATGGGACGTTCAAATATTGTTGTAGACAATGGGGGCCTTGGAGTCAAAAAGTTTAAGAACCGATGCTCTACAGTATTTTTCTGGAAATCCATTGATCACACAGTAATAGAGTATGATACTTGGGAAGAAATGATACATCAGCTAATGCATTTACAAAAATTTTCTTTTCAGCCTGTAATGTAAATAATTGTGAATATTGTTGGCCTTATACAGTTCAAGGTCATGTTAAAAAATATCATGGTTGATTTCATGATTTTTGTTGCTTTTTTGCAATAAACAATTTTGGATTTATTTGGATGTGTTCTTTATATTGTAGGAGATTGCCAAGCACTTTGATCCAGAGGAGGAGGGTTATGAGGTGGTGGAGGAGGCCATATACACTATGACTGGTGTTGCGTGGTATATAAACGACATGAAGAGAAAACATGAACATGCAGTCCGTCTTCAGGTGAGCTCGCGAACACGCAAAGAATTTGTGTTATGAGCATGTTTCACTGCTCTTGTTTATGTACTCGCCATGTTTAGTGAAGATATGAACCAATACATGATCTCTGTACCTCCATAATCTATCTCAGGAGGTCCAGTCTCTGCTCATAAACTGGAAGGGACCTGATCTGACTACATATGGAGAATTGGTTCTCGAGGGCACCTTTCGTGTCCATCGTGCCAAGAATGAACGTACGCTCTTTCTCTTTGACCGCATGCTCCTTATCACCAAACGCAGAGGAGAACATTACGTCTATAAGACACACATCTCGGTACGACTTTATCTGTTATCTGTTCATAGAGAAGTACTTTTTTTATTAATTTATAGTCTGAACAGTCAGCACTAATGTAAAGGTGAAGCCTTTACCTCTTATGAATTATAAGAGGTGAATAAGAGGTAATGCCTTTTGTTTGGTGAAGCCGCCATTGTTTTCTCTCTTGTTTCTCTTTCCTTACCGCAGTGCTCAACGCTTATGTTGATTGAGAGTGCCAAGGATTCTCTGTGCTTCAGTGTCACTCATTACAAGCATCCCAAACAACCTCATTCTGTCCAGGTGTGTCTTCAATTATTAGTGCCCTTACATAAATACAAATATTTTATTCATAAAGAAATAGTTCCGCAAAAAAATTAAATTTCTGCCGTTATTTTCTCATTGCTGTGTTGTTGCAAACATGTATTCCATTATTCTACAAAAAAGTAGAAATCTTTAAAATCAAGTTTTTAACATTGTTTTCATGTCTATCTGATGTTTTTAATATGCTTACAATGCTAACCATGTGCAAATTCATTAGTCAACATCATTGCTGAGCTTTTTCTCCTTAAAACTGCAGTGTACCAAAGGTTTGAAACAGCCCATTTCCTATTGTCAGAAACATGTAACCATGTTCCCGTTAACTGTGGAGCGTTTCTACCTAAGGATGTTGATAATTAGGAGGTAGCTATCTGAGATCCCGAACGGGAACATGGTTTGTGTAACAATAGCAACACATTATAGCTGTTTGATAGCATAGTCTACCCAAAGGCTAATAGTATCAATTACCATTATTGTACATGTCCAATGTTGTAGAGAGTGATACATAAAATGCATTACCTGTTTGTGTCCTTCTGTGCTCACTAAAAAAATGCCTTTTTTGGCTAAAATTTTAGAGGGTGTTGTTACGTCCCAACTGCATAATAATTTAATGATTAATAACATTTTGAGCCTCACCAATCTGGGTGTCGGAAATTGCATTGACAGCTTTGGTTAAAGTTACCATTGACTTGTTATTAGCATTTGACTCTAGATCTCTGTCAATTCTTATTTTCTTGGATCCTGGTTCAGCATTTGACACAGTTGATCATATGCTATTACTTAATTGTCTTGACTCTTTGATGTATCAGAGACTGCCCTAGACTGGTTCAGGTCTTATTTTACTAATCGCAGTCAATTCGTTTTTATGGATGATTACAGATCAGAGGTCCTATCCTGTCCTTACTGGTGTCCCACAGGGCTCAGTTCTTCATCCCTTGCTTTTTATATTTTCCCACTTGGCCAGCTTTTAAGATCTCTTGACCTTAACTATCACTTTTATTCTGATGACACTAAGATTGATATACATTCCATACCAGGTAAATTTGTGGATGTTTCTCATCTTTTCAACCCTATTTTTGAGATTATGGATATGCATGCCTAATAATTTTCTGTTTAAATGCTCTTTGGCTCTCCCCATCAGCTGCGTAATGCTGGCTCTATAGCTTTTTCAGTTGATGGTATTGCCTTTGAGTTACAAAGTAAACTAAAAAAATCTTGAAGTCCTCTTTGATGCCAGCCTGTCATTTGAGCTTTTGTACACTGTTAAGACCTCCTTAATGCACATTTATGGCCTATGCTGTCCTTTTCTTTTGCTGAAAGGTTGATTAACTTTTGTTTTCTAGCGCATTGACTACTGTAACGTTGTCCTTGTTGGTGTGTCTAAATCCTCTCTTACCCTTAATAAACTATAATATTTGCAAAACTTAGCAGCTAGAATCGTGGGGCCATGGTTGGTGACCATATAACACTATTTTGGCATCTTTGCATTGGCTTCCTGTCAATTTAAATATCCTTATGCTGACGTACAAGGCTTTGTATGATCTGGCAATACAGTATTTGGCCAAACTTCTACTGCCTTTGCACACCACTAACTTGCGATCTTCTCACTCTGGTCTTTAAGTTTTTCCCTAAAACATGGCTTTGTCCTAGGGGTGATCATAGGACCTTTTCATCCTGTGCTCCAAAACTGTGGAATTCTCACTCGGCTGACATTAGGGATGCAAATTCATTAGGCATTTTTAAATGTCATCTTAAAACATTTTATTTCAGAATTGCTTTTACTTGATTATCTGTTCTATTTTGTAATTTTTGTTGTTTGTTATATTTAAAGTGTAATGTTTTACAATGTTGTGCTTGCTTTTGTGTAAAGTGCTTTGAGAAGGTTTTTTTTTTTAATTGCTATACAAAATAAATGTTTTATTATTATTATTATTATTATTATATGACCTTGTATACAACCCGGCATAATTCACTCTTCCTCTTCTTCTCCAGAATTAATTCATTCAACAAATTAATCCAATATTGCCACTTGTGTAGTGTTTACTACTTCAGTTAACCAAGTAAAAAGGAGCCGGTAGTCTGAGCTGGTGTGATTAAGTTGAGGCTAATGTGCATATTTATGGCTCCACATATACTAAATGAGGCAAGGGTATAGAGTTATATTCAAGCCATTTTAATGCATGAAGAAATTATTTACACAGTAAAAACGTTTAAATATGACATTTTGATTATCAAAGATGAGTTTTAAGGAATAAAATTAGTTACTACAGGGGGGCTTTAAAGAAGCTTTACGCAGCTCTTGCCATACAATGACTCTTGGAAGTTATCTTTTATATGTCACATGTCACTCCACTTTCACTGTAGCTCTCTAACATTCAACATGCCATATTTGATTGGAGTGCAAAAAAATTATTTTGCTGTTTGTAACACAAAACTATTCTATGGCTTCAGAAAACTTAAAATAACCACATGTATTGTGTTGTATGGACCACTTTTCTGGTTTTCTTTTTGGATCTTGGAAGCTCACGCTCACTGTGAGCTGTCACTGTATGAAAATTCTTCAAAATGGAGTTACTCCTTGTATGTTATACAAGTTACTCCTTCTGTATATATATAT